GTGCATATAAGATATTTTCAACCAAACGTAAAGAGATATTTTTGAAGGATTTAGATGTGAATTCATATGGTAGAAAAATAAAATAATCCAAAACATTGGTAGCAGGTTATGAATTAAAGATAAACGAAATACATTAAATGTTGAACTCTTATCAATACTTTATAATTTTGTAATTTACAATGATTCATCCCAATGTGCTGTATAATTTCATAAGATTTTAATTTCTTGCAATTAATGCTTAATCTGGCTAATGGTGGGATGAACCACTTGTTGAACACTCATACAAAATCATCCTACTAAACCATAAAGAGAGGTGTTAGCCCAAACTTTTTTTTGTACTGTGTCTAACACCATCTCTTTGCTTTGCCTTCTAAAATGAATGTGACTAATACAACTTTCTATTGTTCAAGCAAATCATGTCATCTAAAATTTTACAATCCCCGGTAACAAATTTTCAATAATTGTAGGGTCACCGACTCTCTTAAATACAAGTAACTTGAAAGTCTGAAATATCCTCAAATGTTGATTAACCTCAGTACCAAACTCAAAGCTTGGAACATTGCTTATAGAAGATCTTTCAATAGAAATTATATTAACTTCACAATATCTTGCAGCCCTTTGATTTGTCTCCTCATTTGATCTATTTTGAGTGCCGCTCTTGTTAGAATTATCATTGGCTTGAATCTCTGATTCACCGGTATGCCAAGAAGGCCAACCGTCCATTCTTTCTAGCATTTTTCTCATATATATTTATCTATAATTGCACAATTTTATTTATTTAGTGCAATTTATAATATAATAATTATATCATGCATAAATTATTTTCTAATTCTAAGGAACCACCTACCTAAACCAAATTGGCAAGAGCTCTAAATTGATCAATTCAATTTTAATTTCATTCTTGTTCCCTCTATACATCTAATCACATTTTCATTATTGATTGCAATTCTAGTCTTGCTGTGATACCATTTTGCAGTCACACTCCAGCTGACCCCCTCAAATTAAACAGAGATGTAATAGAAGAATACGACTGAGGAAAACATAATTTTCACCAAAGTTCATTCAAACTTGTGGTCAATAGGAATAAGTTGAGTAGAAAATTGTTCTTATCAAACCAAACTTTAAGAATATCACGGTGTGGTTGTAGTTTTGAAATGCTAGTTGTTGGTAGGGGTTGGCTATTGCTTTTGTCGTGACTTTGCATTATTGGTTTTCAAGTGTGGTTTTGATGCCTTTGGATTTCGTAATATTATGTAGAGTAATGATGAAAAAAATTGAAGAGTTCAACCAATCACCAATTGTCACTTATATAATTGTCTTCATTTGTTTGTCGCAATATTACCCGATCTTAAAGCACACATCATATTGTTAATCACAGATAATACATGGTCTTAGATCACACATGTCACAAAAACCACATATACTTTCTGGTCTTAAAGCTTGAATGATACAATTAGTGATCTTGGATGGAGCATCATTTGATAAATTGATCTCACTAAGCTCTAATTCGATATGTTGTTTTTTTTATTTTCAATTTTTAAAATTATTTTTAAATTTTAAGCTAAATTATATTTTTTCCTCCAAATATTTTATCTATATGGTATATCAGATGGGTGAACAAAAAGAATATGGGATGTCGGCAATTGGGGAGAGAGAGGCCAATATCATATTCAGTGATTTATGTTTGAAAGAGATATAAATTATTTCTCTGGTTAGATTGTCAACCAAATTGGTGAAACCCAAAGATCTTATTACATACACAAGAAATCCATAGCAATTCGAGATTAATGTCGTTCTTCAAAGTATTGATATTTCCATTTATTTTCGCATTATTGTTTTATAACAAAAAAAATTGTTCCAATGAACTTTTTAAATATGATTGTATCAAAGCGATTGATGAAACGCATGTCGATGCACCTGTTCGTAAAGATGACAAGATTGCATATATTGAACATTGTGGATCTGTTACACATAATATCTAAGTTGTTTGTGACTTCAATATTTGTTTTATATTCTTAATGGCTGGATGGGAATGGAATGCTCATGATAGTCGCATATTCAAATTTGTTATTTGGCGAAAACAACAACAACAACAATAACAAAACCTTTATCACACTAAGTGGGCCAACTGAATGAATCCACTTTCTTCATTGCATCTAATTTAGTGTCATATTTTCATTTAATTCTAATAAATTAATATGATTTTTTATATAATATGCCCAATTAATCCTAGGTCTATCTCTGTCTTTCTTAACATAAGTTAAATCTAAAACATCTACACTTTTAATCGGATCATCAGATGGTCGACATTTAACATGACCAAAGCATCTAAGACGACTCTCTAATTTTGTCTATCACTAGAGCTACACCAACCCCATCACGGATATATACATTTTGCATTTTGTCTCTAAGTGTAAAGCCACTCATCCTCCTAATCATTCTCATCTCGGCAACACTTAACTTAGTTTGATGCTACTCTTTTAAAGGCCAACATTCAGCGCCACAGAGCTCGATGTTATTTAGCGACGTGAATTTGGCGACGTGCTAATGCCTCCACCAGATTAGTACATTCGTGATCGTATATGAAGCGTTTAATTTGAGTATGTGTAGTAATGATTTGTATTATTCAGAGAAATATTATCTCATCGATTCGGGATATCCATTGCAACAAGGTTTCTTAAAGCCCTTCTCTGACATGAGATATCACCTCCTGATTTTGAACACAACTGCAAAGTGATTAGGGGAGGAATGAATTATTCAACAAAAGACACTCTTCATTAAGGAGTGTTATCGAGAGAGCATTCGACATATGGAAGAAGTAAGTCATACTCCGAAATATGCCGACATATTTCTTCAAAAAATAGGTAAAGATAATTCTTACAACGACAGAGCTACATAATTTTACACGAAAGCATCCATCTTGATACGATGTTGAATTCAAGGTCTGCGATGAGGATCCAACATGCATATTTGTGTAAGCATTCGAACATCGAGCAAGACAATCACTGCGCGATAAAAAATTTGGTACGAATAACTTCAATACATCCAAAGAAAAGGGTGTTCAAGAGCTGATCCAATTAAGAGAAAAGATTATAGATGCTTTGGCATCGAGTATATTTATGTAGCATTTTGTAATGCCTTCTGGTAGATGTTCACAATTTCAAACATATTGAGGATTTGTTGATGTTTACATTCTATATTTATGTAGTATTTTGTATTGAGGATTTGTTGATGTCTAACTTTACCTATGTATATTTTTCCTTGTGTTTTTTATTATGAAATCAAATATTTATTTTATTATTATATTGCATATCAAGTTTAATTTGTCAATTAAATCATACTCTATTATAATATTAGAAAAAATGAGTTGAAGTCATCAATTACTTCAATAGTTGTGTGTTGGCACTGTGGTACGCGGTGTTCCGAATACACATCAAGAAAAGAACGCAACTATTAGAAGAGATTTTATTATTGTCCCAAAAATAGGAAGCGTGAAGATTGCAAGTATTTTCGATTGGTTGATGATATTGATGAGTTCGCTCCGAATAGTGATTAAGTAACGAGAGATGTTATAGACAAAAAAATATTTCTAAGACAAGATCGTCCGGACAAGAAGGCGAACTTTATTATAGCATTGTTGATTATTTTTGTAGTTTTTATTGTTGTCATATTATGCATGAAATGGTAATTGACAATTGATGTATTAGAGAAATTTGTACTCCCGACGTGTTTTATGTAATGTTGGAGCTATTTTTGTTATTCCGCTACAATAATTTTAAAAACTGCAGCCATTCAGCTGATTTACATATATAAGGGCATAACAGTCTTTGCCATTAGAAACAACTGCAGCACAACAAATTATCTAAATAGATTCTTGCTATTCCAATAGCAGCTTTCAGATAGCAACTATGATGCTGCTGCTCACAGCTGCTTCTTGAAAAAGCAGCAACTGTTCCAAACGCACCCTAAAACCCTTAGGGCAGTCTAAAGTTATTAATTCTTTAGATGCTAATCTAAGATAAGATACAAAAAAAAACCATATAAAGAATCGAAATTCCAATCCATCAGTTCTCAGATGTGGCAAATATTAGTAAATTTTGATTCAAAACTTAAGAGCATGCAAAAAAACAAATTCAATGTTAGTAAGAAACACTAGGATCTAAACCAAGCAAAAATCAAAGAACTTACACAGAAGAAGAAAATCAGAGCATATTTGACAAAATCTCAATCAAAGCATATAATAAAGCGTAGATTTTATATCATTACAAGCATTCAAGTAATCAGATCAAAATTTATGGAATCCATCTAAAATGAATCACATGCCAATTATAGGATCCAATCTTCTTGTACATAATGCAAGATACATGACCCTACAAGACCAGTACCCTTGTTGACAGTTGGTCTCCCATTTTGCTTAGCTGAACTTTGATCAGTCATTCCCTAAGCTTTATTTTTGTATAACTCAACTTGAGGATACTATGGAATATGGACATCAGTATATTTCTGTTGGCTATTATAGCTTTTTAGTCTTGAACCACCCTAAAATATAAAGGGTTCTCAAGCTTGTATTAGGAATAATAATATTACTGATGAATTAATTTGCTTCCTTATGGGAACGGCTACATTGTGTGAGATTAGTGATGCTTCATAGATCCAGGCTATGTAGATGGTGAAAATAAACATGACTGTTCCCTCATTTAATGGTTTTTCAAAAACACGCAGTAGTATGAATCAGTTTTCATCATTCCTTTGGTAAGAAAGTTCAAAATTCTAAGAGAAATAAGCATTCTATTTGGAATTTTAAAAATAGCTAGGTAAACTTTTTTATTTTTTTTTTCAGTACTTTTTCAAGAACACTTCGGCAGTTTAAAACTTCCAAAATTCAATAAGAATCAAAACCAAAGGCCTGCTAAGAAAGTGAAATCAAAATTTAACTTTAGGCGCTCCAGTGTTCCAGAAGAATGGAATCTTCAACCTCTGACCGTAGGAACAGAACTTACTTTTGAGAGATCAATAGGAACATCTAAATAGTGATCTAGGAAGTTCATATTTTGCTCAGGATCAAGAAGCTCCAACAGAGCACTAGCTGGATCACCAGCATGACCTCTGCCTAACTGCAAAAAGGAAAATCTAAAGATAACTTACAGAAACACAAATATTAGCTAATTCAGGCAGGTATAGACAGTTAAACTACCTTGTCAATTTCGTCAATTAGAACAAGAGGGTTAGCTGTTCCAACACTTTTCAAGCACTGGACAATTTTTCCTGGCATTGCACCAATGTAGGTTCGACGATGACCCTGAGCAAATTGAATCATTTAAAATAACTCCATGTATGTGGACTCCTAAATTGTAAAATAAAGAAATTAAAGTTCAGCAATTAAATATTTGCACCTTGATTTCAGCAACATCAGCCAAACCTCCCACTGAAAACCTATAAAATTTCCGGTTCAGAGCACGTGCAATTGAACGCCCAATACTAGTTTTACCAACTCCAGGAGGACCAGAAAGACATATGATTTTCCCTGTGCCCATTACATGCAAATTATTACCCTGAAATTGACGTGGTCATAAATTTGAAAATTCATTTTAAGAAAATACAATAATTCATCGCAAGAATATAGTGTATTTCAATTTTAGAGGGTTAAAATCTTAGATTATCAGCTTTAATTACATGGTTCGAAACATAAAGTAAGGTAAAAATCAATAAAATAGCCAATTAAGCATAAATTTAGAAGTTCCAAGTGCATGATGTTGAGCCATATGGGATCTTTCAAGAAGAATCTTCAAAAAAATTACATCATACTTCAAATAACATTGGTCATCTTTATGAAGTCAGCCCTTCATTATTACAACAAGAATAAACACCAAACTTCTGCAAGTTAGACTCGATTCTAACCCAAACAAAAATTTAAAAAAGAAAAAAAATGTGTCCAAGAAATTGGGATACGACCAGAACAGAGTTAAGTCAAGAATCAATCCACACCTAGCAATGCTTGGAATGCCATTCATATCATGCATAGCCATAGTAACTTAAAAGTAGCTAAACATTACAATTACTGCTTACTGCACACTGAATTAAGTTTATTAGTTAGCCTTTATATGCCTTTTTTATCAGGTATAAACATTTTTAGAAGGAAAGAACTAAAAAGAACTACATCTTTGCTCAAATGTATTCATAGTAAAATTATACATATTATAATATGGAGGCAAGATAACTGAAATTTCAAGCAAAATATGCTGAAAGAAAATACCCCCAATAATAAATAGAGCAAACTAATACTATAAATAATCAATAGATATGATGTACAGATACGTAGGACTCCGATGAAAACTTATAGTGGCATAAAAAATGTCAGCATAAAGCTGAAAATAATAGCCACTATAGATGAAGTATTCAAATATTTTGTTGTTTAAAGATAGCTAGTGCTAGAAGGAGCTGATTCGATTTATGTTAAGAAAGGCGGAGGTAGACCTAGAAAGACATGGGCATATTGTATAAAAAACTATCTTAATTTATTTAAATTAAATGAAAATATGACACTAAATAGGATGCAATGGAGAAAAAGGATTCAAGTAGCCGACCCCACTTAATGGGATAAAGTTTTTGTTGTTCTTGTTGTTGTTGTAAAGATAGCTAGTACTAGGAGTGTGATTGATTCATGAAAGAGATAGTAGTGTGAATCAGATGCAAAGAGTTGGCAATGAGATCCTTATCAAAGAAAGCATTGATAAGATCCTTAATCAAAGGTATTAATAGACAGTGTTAATGAAGAGTATTGATAGGGTGAATGAATGAAGACATTGTAGAATTTACTTGGAGAGAAAAATCCTTAATTCATTATTCACAAATAGGGCACATATATATAGGGAAACCAAGCCCTCCTTATTTACAAACTTACTAAACATATCTCAACTAAATTAGGAAAGAAAATAACTATGAACAAAAAATAAAAAAATATACAATAAGAAGGGAATAAACCAATCAAATCCTCCAAAATTTGGAGATAGTGGTTGGCCAACATGAGAAAAGTAAATATGGAAAGGATATAATCTTCTCCACACTCCCCCTCAAGTTGGGTCATAGATGTTATAGAGATCAAGCTTGGTATTGAATTTAGAGAAGGTGTTAAAAGGAGAGCTTTCGTGAAGAACAACATCAACTTGTTGGTGTGTTGGGATTTAGCTTAGCTATATAATTCCCTCATTAACCATTTCAGAGAAGAAGTGTCTATCAACTCCAATATGCTTAGTTTTGTCATGATGCATAGGATTCTTGGCAATACTGATAGTTTTTTGTATCATAGAACATAAGTATAAACCTTTTGGAAGAACATCACAGTTCCTTTAACAATTTCTGAATCCATGCCCCTTCACAGATACTCAAGGGTTCTACTATGATTCCGCACTGCTTCTTGAAACAGCAACTTGTTTTTTACTTCTCCATGTAACCAAATTTCCCAATACATATGAGTAATAACCTATGGTGAACGTTCTGTTGGTGAGTTATCTTGCCCAACTAACATCAGTGTAGACTTCCACTTCTCTAATTTTTTTTTCTAAAAAATTAATCTGTAACCAGAAGTCTTTTTGAGAAACCTCATAATCATGTAAATCATCTCCAAATGCTCTTCAGTTGGGGCTATTTATGTCTTGGCTCACAATATTGGTAGAGTATGCAAAATCTAAGCTAATATGTGACTGAAAGAGAAATTTTCCGACCAAATCTTCAGTATCTTCCATTATCCACACACATATGTTCTTCCTCTTATTAGATTTATTGTTAGGATCCATTAGAGTATCAGTAGATTTGCATCCATTAGTATGTTTCCTTTACCATATCTAGGATGTATTTTCTCTGTGATATAGCAATCCCTTTCTTAAACCTTGTTACCTTTAAACTTAGAAAGTATCTCATATTTAGTAGGTCCTTGATTTCAAACTCAACGACCAACATTTCTTTGATTCTAAAATTTTTTCTTTCATCATAAAATAAGAATCATATCATGTACATATACAATCAGTGCAACAATCTAATCTCTCTAAGTGTGTTTTATAAATAATGAGTGATCAGCCTGACTTTGAGAATATCCACTGAATTTCATAATTTTAGCAAACCTTTCAAGCCACACGCTTGGTAATTATTTAAGCCCATAGAGAGACTTTCTGAGTTTGCATACAAGGTGTTTGTTTGAATCACAATTTCTGGCGATATCTTCATGTAGACTTCTTCCTCCAGATACCCATTCAGAAAGACATTTTTAAGTCAAGTTTATTAAGTCTCCATTCTTTATTCATTGCTACTGAAAGAAGAACTTTTATAGTATTTAGTTTGGCAACTGGTGTGAAAGTTTCCAATAGTCGATTCCATAGGTTTGTGTGAAACCTTTAGCAACAATTCTGATTTTAAATCTCTCAATACTCCCATGAGCTTTGTATTTTATGCTAAACACCCATTTGAATCTAACTGACTTCTTATTATGAGGAAGTTTAAGAGGCATATGACATTCTACTTTCGTGCTTCTCTTCTTTTACTGCTTTTCTCCACTCTGAATTTTCAAGAATTCCATGAATGGATCTAAGACCACATTATCAAGGTTGAATCTAAACATTTTATAGGATAATGACGGTTTTTCATAAGCTATATGCTCCTAGATTTGCAATCTTGAACAGCTTCCCTTGTCATCAACACCAAAAAAGGAATGAGATAGCTCATGAGTACTAGACACACCCAAAATTTCAGGTAAATACAGACTTGGGTTTTGGTTGGAGAAATTGTCTTTGGAAGTTGTCTTCCACCTGCTCAAGGTTTTTCTTCCTCCTAGTGTACACACAAGGTTCTTTATTGTAAAGTCGAATTGGTTGGATATCCCCAACAACAGTAGGAGAGTCAGATGGAACGGGAGTAGGAAAAGTAGTAGGTGAGTGTGTTTTGTAGGTGCCATCATCCCAAAATTGGTGTTCATTTGCACTCCCCTTGAAAATCAGATTTGGGATAGTATTTCTGATAATAGGGGAGCAACACTTCTACACCTTTTTGTTAAAGACATACCTAAGAAAAATATAGTTGATAAATTTAGGATTAATTTTGATGCATGTTGGAGAATGAATGTAGACAAAAGATACAATTTTAAGTTGTATGGTAGAACAGAAAGCTCTGATGTATGGATAAGTAACCATCAAATTATGAAGTAGCTTTTCGAAGTTAACTACTTTACTAGGCATTCGATTGATAAGATATATTGCAGTAAAACTGCTCCCCAAAAAAAAATATTTTAGAACTTGATGAGAAATTATAATTGAGCAGGATACCTCATGTACATGTTTGTTTTTTCTCTTTGTTATCTCATTTTATTGTGGGGTATCAATACATGAACTCACCCGAATAATTTCATTTTTTGAAAGATAAGACTCAATGATAGAGTTGAAATATTTCTTTGCATTATCAGTTTTGAGGATTTGAATTTACATTGGAATTGAGTTTGAAATATATCACAAAATGTTTGGAAGATATGGGTTGTTTCAAATTTTTCCTTCATCAAGAATGTCCAAGTAGTTCTAAGACAAACCATCTAGCCTCACTTAGAGTTTTTATTTTTGAAAGTCCCCAAATATCACCGTAGATGATGAAAAAATGATGTGAGGGTTTATACCGAGTCGTGAGATAACTATTTTTAAAGTGTTTGGCTAGTTGACAAATCTCACATTGATGGAAACTACATTTTTTTATTGAGAATAAATGTGAATAGAACTTAGCAAAAATAGGATGACCCAGTTTGTGTTGTCATGACATGACTTATTTTTCGACAAATATAAACTCAACTGACTCAGAAATTTGAAATATATGAAGATGGGATCAGTTGTGTTTAGAGAGAGATTTTCCTTGAACAGGTATGTCTTAGTACATTTCAGCACTATCAGTTAGCTTCCCCGATTCCACCACCGAAATTCATAAGAGTTTGCATAGAATTTGGTTATACATTTCATATTATGACCAAATGTACTGATTGAAATTAAATTACAATCTAATTGTGGAGCATATAAAACAGAAAAAACAGTAATATCCTAAGAGAGCCCCATATCTCCATTCCAAAAATATTTGAGTGTGATTACCAATCTAGATTTAGAAGATTCATGATAGTTGACTAGAGCATTGATGCCTCCGGTCATATGATCAGGTACTCTTGAATCTATGATCCAAGTTCTGCATTTCCCATTATCGACAACATAGGAAAATAATATATTACTTTGGCATGTCACGAGATAGGTGTGCTGCTCCGAATAACCTCCAAGGAGTTTGTTCAATATTTTAAATTGATCATTGTTGAATGGTTCCTTTGATCCTTTGAATGTGGCATTAGCATTTTCCTTATTCTTTTGATCATTCATTTCCTGTCAAATTTTCCAGCCAATAGTGATGTGGGCTGTAATGGGGGCTGAACTAGGCCAATTTTGTATGGTACTAGGATCGGTCCAGCAGGAA